CTCTGTCTCAGCTTAACCCAGGACATAAGCACAGTGAAGAGGACAAGCACTGTTGTCCCTGTGCTGCCTTGCCAATGTGCTTCAAATTTAACCCAGGTTAGTTGGTTGCTTTTCATGGCCCACGGGCACTTTGGCTGCAGAATGGAGCTTTTTAAATTTTTGCCAAGTGTTACACCTCAGTTCCCCAGCATCAAGTTCTTCACCTCCTTGTCCTAGCCCTTATTGCTTTGGAGAATTGTGGCATGTATCTGGGCTGCCACCAGAAGGGCTGTCCTAGCTGTTCGTTTCTGGTTGAAACTAGATGATCACTATGGTCCTTTTCAGCCCAGGCCATTCTATGCTTCTGTTGCCTCTCCTGCTCTTACCTCCATAGGCGTGTTTGATCAGTGGGATCAGAGGGCAGGTTAATGCAGATGAAAACCAAACACTTTTTTCTTATATCAGTTTTCTGCTTTAGCTTTTCACACAACAGTAGGAATACTAGAATGGCACAAGAGAGGCACTGGGGAAGCAAAAGAGGACAAGTGAAAGCACATCTCCTTTGAGTGATGGCCAGGAATAATGACAGAGTACATGACCACTGTGGCCAAATTCTTACTCAAACCATAAAGTAAACCAAAACAGAGGCAGCTCTTCCCTCTGAAAATAAGCAAGAGCAAGCTGTCCTGCTGTGAACTTTCGATTTTATTTTGGTATTTTGATTTTTTTTTAGGATGAAGACCCCCCCTAACTCATTTGTGACAGAAGACAGTCAGCAGTGTGCTGTAGGTTAGGACCCTTTCAATTATTCCAGGGTATCTTCCCTGTAAGACCACAGGGTTAAAGAATAGGGGGAAGTTATTAGTGCTCACATAACGGTCAAGCTCTAAACAAAATCAAAGTTAGATCTAGTGACTTTTTATGGTTCTCGATCTAGGTACGTAGTTATCTCAGTCCCATCTTGCAGAATGCCCTTGATCGCTGTTTACTGATTTGGTGTTATAGTAGCTAGGTATCCATTAGAGTTAGGTATCCACTAGAGTTTGAAAATGTGTTCAGCAGTTTTGGTTTTAATTCATGTACTCTTCATGTATTATGTCATCTACACTTGAAACCAGATCCTTCAGGTGAAGCACTTTTCATTATTATGTTATTTTGTTTGTTTTGAGGAGAAGTAGTTCTAGGAACCAGGTCTAAAGCTGGTTAGATTTTTTTCTGCTAAAATAAGTCTTACAGGTGTTGGTATCTGTTTCAGACCCAAAGCAAATACAACAATATTTCCCATTAAACCAAACTCCTCTCTTTTGGCCTGCTCTAAGCAGATAGTAGGAAGGACAGGGAATGTTTTGAAAGGGGATCTTTTCTTATCTATGACAAAGACAAGTAATTTTCTCACAGCAGTGCTGTGGTGAGTGCACAGTACCAGCAGTCCCGATCATCCAATTACTAGATTTTTTTCAAAGCCTTTTCTCTGCCTATCATGTTTTCACTCAAGTGGTTTCTCATAACTTTGAAGAGTTCCTTGCTGACAAGCAAAGACCTGCCCACACAACATCCTCCAAATGTCCCTGTTGCTTTATAAAATTAATGATAGCATCAGATTGTTACCTCTCCTGTCATGCTAGCCAGTACTATCTTGTTCTTGCATACACTCTGTGTGATAATTTTTGTAGGAATAACCTTTGTTTGTTATTTGCATAATATTGCACAGCACAGATTCTAAAGTAGACAGTGAGATTGTAAGCCCTACCATAATGCTAGTGATAAAAGCAGTAATAATTAAAGGTGACAACATTTTCTATAGGAACACTGTTAAGCTATTGCCTGCTGCAGTCAAATACTTGATGTACTTTGTGGTTTAATGAATTAACTGTTCATTCAATACTACTTTTAAATTGAATGTGATTTACAGGCTGGGGCATTAAATTCACATTTCAGTGGGATGTAATTTTATTGTACCGTGCTTAGTTATGTTAATTTCACGTAGATAATCTCTGCAGCCTGCTTCAGCTTGGAAGAGCAAGAGGCACTGATGTGAGGATTCTTTTACTTTCTTATAGATTCTCTTTGTCCTCATCTTTTTCCAAGGACAAAACAGATTCTGTTATCATCTGACTCAGAGGCAGTAGTATCCCATCCTCAGGAGCCTCATGATCTGGATGACTCGTCAGCTGCTGGTCAGTTTTCCCTGGTGTACTGGCCACATCAGTGTGAAGTCATCAGGGACAGAATTGAGCACATTGGTAAGTTATTGTGTTATGCTTAAAATCTTGTGTAGGGGCAAAGAGGAAGCACACTTACATATATATAAAGCCAAGAATTTATTGTTCGTATAAGTTAAATCTTAAGAGACAAATAATTATTAGTCCAGATCTAATTGCTACAGAAAAAGAAAAAAAAAATAATGCAGTTAAATTTGTTATATGTATGCTTCATTCACACCCTTTTCCTGGCTTCCCCTTCTACTGCTCCTCTTGGTCCTAACGTCAGTGGTTTCATTGCAGAGTTTTCGTTCTGGTGGAGGGGAGAGGATGTCTGTTGCATATTGTCAGCCTCTAGAGTCCTTTGCTGCAAGAAATACAATGTTTGTATATGACTTCTTCCCCACTCAAGGATCCAAATATCCCTGGGGTCATTTTCATGTGTTTGTTAGCTTACTCTTACACCTTTCTCTTTCTTCGTTGGTCTGCAGCTCCATGTTACATCTGAATTTACCATATACAGGGTTCTTTATGTGTGTTAACTATTATTTCCTTATTCTCTTTGTTACCCCTAAAGCAAGTTTTGTCCAGCTCTACATCTGCATTTCTACCCAGAACAATTCCTTGTTACTGCTGTCCTTATGAGCCTATGGTTGTGCCTCACAAAGATAAACAAAAATAAAACAAATTAGCCATACATACCTGGTCAATTAGAGAAATTGCTGTCACAGCTAAATTAAGTGAGACAAAGCTGCAGGCAGATAAAGAAAAGTTCAGACAGAGCAAACCTGACAAGCCTTAGTCCTGAGGTTCGCAAATTCAGTACAAATCTCATGTCCTATTACTAGCAATGTCAGTACTGTATTTCAGGGCTATGTGGATAAATATGAGTGGAAGCTAATAACTGCTTTTATGCAGTCTGTGCAAAAGTCATACTGCAAACCTGTTACAAGATAGTGAAGACTTGAACAGTCCTTGTGCTTTATAGATACAACCAATTTCAATTTGGAAGTAATCAATAGAAACCGGAAATGCACAGAGGTGGGACTGAGACATCTATGCCCTTACTCTGTTACCTTGGAAAATAGATCCCAGTATCTTGAATGGAATGGAGAAAAGGCCTACTGTCAGAAAGAATTTGTGTTCAACAGATCTTTGACTTGCCAGGCAGATGTCATGCGAGTTACATGGAGACACTGCATTATAGCCACGCAGCGTCTGTGCGGTCGGTAATCAATGACTTTGCTCTGTAGTCAGAGCATCTGTTTTCCTAATGGTACCAATGCTGCTGAATGTTCACCATTGTCATCCTCACTGATGGTAATCAAGCTGTACAGAGAACAGAGGTAAGTTTGCACAGCAGAAGTTAGTCCATGCACAGATTGATATGTATTTTTATTTGGAGTTACAGTGAAGATTTATTAACAGAACCAAAACATGAGGTTCAAAAAGGGAGCTTCCCTGTTCCTTTCTGTGCAAATGGGATTTATTTCATTTCAATGTATCCTTCATATTATAAAGACTAGTACAATCTTCCTGCTTGTACTCCTTCTGTGTGTCTCTTCTTTTTCAGACTGGATACCCACTATGCCTGAGCCATTGTACACTCCAACAGGTTTGGAGATGATGCCGCCATACCAAACTCCTGACAAAGGCACTGTGATTTATCTAGGAGAAGAAGGTGGGAACACCCTGAGAAATCTTGCTGTCAGCTGTAGGTAGATGAAGCACATGTTTTGATCTTCTTGGTAAACCCGATTCAAAACCTGATTAAATCAATATGATTTTCTATTATTATTTTAAAGCCCTTGGGAATAAATTATTTTCCTACAGATACAGAAGGAAATTAGTTACACAGCTGTCTCATCATCCATAAGTTCTGCTCATACTGTTAATCATCTCAGAAGTCCAGCTCTGCTCACTCCATTGTTCTTAGTGAATAACAGCATGAACCAGCCTGAAGTGAGTTTGTTGTGCAAATATGAGTGGAGAAAGGTAACAGACAAAAGAGAAAGTGGAAAAGATGAGCACTGTGTAACTGCAAGATCAACACTAAAGTCTGTGTTGGGACAATATTTTGTTACCCTGTTTGCTATAGTGGTTTTTCCAAGACTTATAACCAAAATTAGTTAGACAGAATTGAAGGGAGGTAGTTGCCTTCTTATACCACCAGTTGATTGGCAGTTATTTATTCTTTCCTGTGTTTGCTAAGTTGATCCAGTTGCCTTGGATGAACTTGTAACTTCTGGCAGTTGTTGATTTTGGTCCTGGGCTACTTCTACAAAGACAAGAAAAGATTCTAATAGTTTTGCAATCCTAGGATAACTAGATGTGGCCACAGATTTTCAGAAGCACAAAACTGAAAGGGAGCTGGCATCCTTCTTGAGGTCAACACAGTTGGTAAAAGCTTGCAATATACTGAAAAGCACTGGTACTCTTTGACATCATGTTTATTTAGAAATTAGCTACTTCTGCAGTATGGGTGTGTTAGCTGTCACTAGTAGGCTGCTACATTTGGTGGCCAAAAAACTGCTAACTGCTGTGTGACTAGGAGGGAACCTCTGTCCTCTGCAGCTGGACCTGCTGATTTATTGCAAGGAGTACAATGTGGAGGAATACTCTGAATCCCAGCTCCCCACCTTTTTGAAAACAAAGACAGTGATTTCTGTTACATTCCTTTAGTTGCTGTTCTTTAAAAATGCAACTTTTTCTCTCCTTTATTACTAACTTGGGCTTTATGCACAGGTGCCTGGAAGTGGTTCTTATTTCAGCCTGTACAACTCTCCAGTAAAGTGTGTATTTTGGTATCATGTTTCTCAGACTTCATTAATGAAACTTTGCAGCCGAGGAGGTGAAAACTGCTGCCTTTAAGTATGGCCAGTTGTCCCTCCTGCTCCTGAGGAATGACACTGTGCAGGCAGTTACAGACAGTTAGCAGTTCCTGGGCTAGCAAACATCAAGCTGCAGCAGAAAAGGAGTGGTTGCTATCACTGTGAAGACACTATATCTAAACATATGGATAGCAATTGTCAGTATTTCTTGACTACAGGGATAGTTTTTAAGTAACTGTACGTTCACTGTCTTATGTCTGCCACTTTGCCCCCTGGCCTTGGGTTTGGCTGGTAGCAGGACAGAGAACTTCAGAGCTCTGCAGCCTTTACTTGCCCTTCCTTGCTTGCACCAGGGAGAGCAGACTCCTTGCGCAAACTGGGCTGCTGGGCACTGTGGCCAGCTGGGAGACAGGAGCAGGCAGGAAGAGGAGGAGAACTTCGGAGCCCCATGGAGTTAATGTTCTCCTTTTTGGTCCTGGGACAGAACCCCCCAGCTTGGTAGCTTTGCCATCTAAGTTATATAGCAAAAAATATAATTTTAAAAACTCTAAAATCATCTTCACAGAGAAGCTTTATAGGGTATGACAGGCATCTGCATTATGCAAATTTATGACCTGAGTGCCCCAGAGTGGCATGTAATGAGCCATTGCAACCTGTGAAGGACAGCAGCAGCACTCTCCTGGTTCCCACTCATTTGAATTTGAATTCAACAGAAGCTGGGAGTTACTGCCTGTCTGGGAGCTACCTGCTACTGAGTTCCTGCAGGCCCTCCTAATGTGATTTGGGAAAGAAAAATACAGTCCAATGGTGCCTCCCATGCAGAAAAATTAAAATATCATGATAGAAATCACAGATTTTATGTGTGCATTTCATTCCCAAGCATTTGACTGATACAGATGTTTCCAGAAGCACTTTTACTGGATTAGCTACTGAAATATTTTTCTTCCATAATGTTAAGGAAGAGC